TACTCGGGGCCCGACTCTCACTCCGACATGCCACCAGATGCTGCCCTGTCCCTCAGCACTGCTCCACTAGAGCTTGCAGCAAACTGCACCTATCTTAGACCACCTCTGGCACTTCAAGTGTCATCAGGTCTTTGCATCTGAACCCATCAGTCCTGGTCTCCATCTCCAGTAATTAACATGGGAGCTGAGACAAGGAGTTCACATGCAGGTGTCTGTTGTGTGCACACCTGAACGGAGGCCAGAGGAATCCCCCCTCCTGTGGGTTTGTGCTATGGGGGGAAGCTGAGGAGTACAGCCATGGAATGGGGGTTGAATGCGTTCCCTCAGCTGTGGTAAAGGAGATCATTCCCTGTCCCTGTCTGGGTGTCCTGTCTAAAGATGGGGCAATGATAAGGTGATTTTTGAATTCTTCAGATGGGCAAAATGACACTGCAGGAAAGAAGTGTCACTCCCCAGCTGAGGGAGGGAACCTCAGTGATGCCTTCAGGCTGTTTCCCAGCAGGTTCCCCTGGAACCCCAGGGACACCTGGAGGAGGAGCCCAGAGGGGCAGAGAAAGCTCCTCTGCTGCTCCTCTGCTCCTGAGCTGGGCTGGGCTCCTGGGATGGAGGGAGCTCCTGGCAGGTGGGCCGTGCTGCAGAGAGACAGATCTGCCCAGGAGCAGCTCCTCTGCAAAGCGCAGCAGGGCTGGGGGCACTGCCTGTGGGCACCCAGGGGAGCCTGTGAGGCTGAGAGAGATTAAAAGCAGATGGGAGTGGGAGGATGCCAAGAGCTGACTGTTGCAGAAATCTTTACAGCCCTTTCCGTGGTAAGTTTCGGGGTGCAGGGCAATGCAGCTTCAGGTCCTGGAGGGATCTGGAAAAGCTGGTACATCTGACATTTTATGGGATCTTTCAGGAGGACTTTCTCAGAATTTCTCTACCATAGAGGAGGAGGATGTGCTCCAGAGCAGGGCTTCCCTGCGGCACCATCAGAGGGACAGGGCACGACAGCTGCTTTCTCCCAGGGATGGCTGTGGAGGTGTGCATATGGGTGTGCAGCCAGGGTTTCCCAGGGCTGTCCTTCCGAGCAGGGTCCCTGCACCACGGGGCTGTGTGCTGGGGCAGGGACTGTGCTGGCTGCCAGGGTCAGCACTCAGCCTGCCCGGGGAGATCCTCACGGTACTGTGGAGAGAAACTGAGGGTGGAAGGAGCAACCTCAGTCAGAGAAGGGTCCTTCTGCTTTCAAGAATTTGCCGTGTGGGTCAGGGCTGCTCACAGCTCCAGATCTCCCCCTGGATGCTGGAAGAGGCAGCATTTTGAGGGGAAAGTAAAGACAAGGACTGCCTTAGAGATGAATGCCTTCGCAGGGTCTGTGCTCT